CTGCTAGCGGTGAAGGTCTGCGTAAGATGATGGGCTCTGAGCAGGGTGAGGACCAGGTCCGTATGAGCGAGGCTCTCGCTCAGGTTGCTTCTGAGCACGGCATCGAGTCTGTCACCGCTATTGCGCTGGCTTACGTCCTCTCCAAGACCCCCAACGTGTTCCCTCTCATCGGTGGCCGTAAGGTCGAACATCTGCACGACAACATTAAGGCTCTGAGCATCCGTCTCACTGATACCCAGATTGCCTTCCTTGAGGCTGTTAAGCCGCTCGATATCGGCTTCCCTCAGAACATGCTTGGCGAGGAGCCTGGTGTTTCAGGACAGAACCCCATGGCCATGGCTCCCTCCGGACAGCTGTCATATGTGCGCTACCCCAAGGCTATTGGATATGAGTAAATGAACACTGGAATGATATTGAGAAGTCTGCAAGGATGTATAGATCCCCCATGGTTGACGATTTGTTTGATCGTGAAATACTAGTTAATAATGTATGCAAGAATATATGAAGTGTTTTTGAGTTATCTTCAAACCTACCTGCTTTGAGATGTAACGCGTTGCCCTTGTACATGTGCTCACAAGTACTCACAACGATTGTGAACGCGCAGTCTCTGTGTAATAAGGACAAGTTGCTGCCATATATTGCAGGTGATAGAGACTGGAAACATAGATTCTGCACTAGCGATGAATGGGGCCATAAGACTGAGAGAAAGTTTATAGAAGGAGAAGTTTGTGTTATAGAATGATATTAGCTAGGGTAGGCAGCACTAGACCTAAATAGGACGCGAATAGGAGACTTGATCTAGAAAATTCAATGCTGCCGTGCTAGAAAACTAACGAAAGTGCTATCTTATGCGATAGGTGACTATATCCCATTAGCACTAAGAAGAATCGTTGTCGTTTGCCTAGAGGAGCGTTCTTCTAGCGAACTCATCCGTTTGTACTTTATATTCATAAGCTATCTAAGAAAGCAATTAGCCCCTCGCACCTCTCTTGAATATCAATTCTGGTCCTATTTCTATTAGCCCGAGGCAGAGGCATTCTCGAAGGGGGTCTAAATACGGCGTGAACTCCTCATAAGAATATTGAGAACCCCCAATGAGCAGTATACCAAAAGTGTATAATACAATAATTGTTGCAGTAGATATCTGCTCGATAATTGAGGACATAGAGTACATGATCAAACAAAGCAACCCGCTCCATGCAAGGAAAGCCAAAATAGAATATAGAAAAACCAGACAAGACCAAACAGATCAATCACCAGAAAGATCCTGGCCGTGTCTGATCCCGTCCCCGGGCATAGGATCCCTCAAGGTTCCAAATGTCTTGTGAACCGGGGACTAGAAATCACAAGTCGACGGAATAACCATTCGACACAGGTATCAAATCAAAAGCAACACAGCCAACTCAAAGAGAACAAAGTGAGAATTATGGCAGGTGGACTTCCTTCTGTTGCCGGGCGACGGTCTTCTCAACATAGTATCCAGGATCGGGTTTCCGCTCCAGGTGCACCTCCTGCTTTGTGAGCCGCTTCTCACACTCCTCAACCTGGACCAGCTCCTTGACTCTCATGATCTGACCGGCGACGGATGATGAAACAGGGTGGAAGACTGTGGCCATACGCTTCTTAAGACCAAGGGCCTTGAGGACATCTGTTGAACGGCGCGGGAGACCAATTGCGGAGCGCATGAGGGTGACGCGGAAGTAGCTCATTTTGGTGGTTTGATTGTTTAGAGGACGGCGGAGAATAGCGAAGGTTTTGATAATTGTTGTTCTGATGGTTCGGTGTCGTCCGGAAGTAAATCGCACTCGGGGCACACAGAATGCGTGTGATACGCTGGGCGATATTAGATTATTGGTAGATAGGATATAAAGACAATATGCGTGATGCAATTATCCCTGATGTTTCTGCGCGAGGAGTGGGATCACAGCTAGAAATGATCGCGGATCTCGCAAATTCAATTGAAGGGCGGTGTGTCACGTGTGGATTCTGCCGCGATCTGATGACCGCAGCGGCACGGCGATGTACTTCCTTGATAGACAGTAACTACACCAAGCCAGTGGAGAGTATGGGCTTTGAAATCTGGGTGTAAATATTCATATACCTGGTTTACCCAAAGCTCTCTTGATTTGCTATCACAGAAGTACATCTTATGCCCGCATTGTTGACACCTCACCCCTCGACAACTTCGAAGCATTGAGCCGCATCTACGGAATACCTCCACTGCAACAATGGCGCAAGTCAACACCGATAATACGACTGTCGCTATGCCGCGACTGGAGGATCTTCTCCGACACCCAGAGGATCTGGACAAGATCGGCAGTCTCAAGGCCGACTACTTGCGGAAAAAGGCGGCGGTCGATTCACGGTTACGAGAAGGTCTCCGGGACCAATTGGAGGCCGTACAACGCAGCATTGGTGCCCTGACGGAGGGTCAACGACAAGTCTCGAAAACGAAGGATGAGCTCCAGGGCATCGACAAGCTGTGCGCCGAATCGCAGGAGAGCGTGGAGGACTTCGCGCAGATCGATCAGCTAGCTCGAATTCAACGGCATTTCGATGCAACCCTTATGATGAAACGCGGGTTGGAAAATTTTGGTGGCGATATCCAAGAAGTGGAAGAGCTACTCAGGGAGGACGACGAGGACATGGAGAACCAGCCCAATCTTCTCCGTGCTCACATGCAGATCTCGCGGTTGCGGGATTTCCGTGACGAAGCTATGGATCAGATTGGCAAAGCCCATGATCAAAGTAGTCAAGAGACCTTGACGGAGTATTTTGAGGGATTGGACTCTGTCATTGAGTGGTTCGATGACCACCTTGGAACCGCATGCATGAATCTTATTCCCTTGGTCCAGTCGGACAACAAGAGCATGGTTGTTCGACTTGCAGTTGTGGTGATGAACGAAGAAAAAAATGACGACACAGTCCGTGCTTTGCAAGAGGCTCAAAAAGATCACAAGGACCTCGCAAGCCGTTTCAAGTCTATGAACATTGGACCAAAAACTGTGCGCGGGTACAAAGACAAATTCATTCAGGCTATTGAGCTCTACGCACAAGGTCAATTCGAGGAAACATTGGAGAATTTCCTAAGTGACCCGGATAACCTAGAAAAGAGCTTCCGATGGTACTTCAACGATCTGTTCACAGTCAAGCAAGGCATGCAGAGCCTTGTCCCGAAGAAATGGAAGATCTATAAGACATATACAGACATTTATCATCGCCAAATGCACGACTCTTTGGTTGGCATGATTGACGACCCCGAGCTGCCAGCTGACAATCTCCTTACCATCATCCACTGGAGCGACAAATACTACAAGAAGATGAAGAAGCTCGGCTGGACACCGGCAGAGCTCCAGCCCAACATCCTGGACGACCGGGAGCCAGAACTGGTACGTCAATGGCAGAGCGTCATCATCAACGCAGTCGAGGAATGGATGGACCGCATTTTCAACGCCGACAAGAGGTCACTTATGGACCGTGTCTCGGATGCCCTGGATAACAATGCTGAAGGCCACTTCCGTACCAAAACCCTGGCAGACATGTGGCGCATGCTTCACGAACAAATTATGGCGTCAGGAGCATCAGACCGTGCAGACGTAGTGGAAGGTGTGATTGACGCCATGTTCCGAGCACTCAAGGCACGCCAGAGCGCATGGCAGGCACTCATCGACGAAGAATGCGCCAAGCACCAAGCTGCAAGCGCCGACCAAGCTGAAGGCGTGCAACTTCTGCAAGACTGGATGATTGGTGTGGCCAACGACCAAATCTCCTGCATTGATGACAACGAGGAGACAGGCCAATTCGGCTACTTGACCCGCTTCAAAAACGACTTTGAAACCCTTGTCACGGCTAAGTACATGGCTACAAGGGCGAATATCGAGCTGGAGGTTCTGCGCGATAGCTACGTCGATTTGAGCACGCATTGTCTGGCCAAGTTCGTCAATATGGTCTTTACTGTCGATCTCGACTCTGTATTACCGGACATTTATACATCCAGGTGGTATGGCGAGTACGCCATGAAGCGTATTACTTCAACATTTGAAGACTACATGTCAGACTACACACCCGTGCTGCACCCCTCACTCGCCGAAATCTTGGTGGAGGAACTATCAGACGAACTACTAGTGCGATACTTGGGAGCTGTGCGCAACAAGGGCGTCAAATTCCGCCGCCAGGTCGACCCTTTCACAGAGAAATTCAAAGACGACGTCCTAACCGTCTTTGCGTTCTTTGAAAACTATCCCGATTCATTCGAAGGTACCATCAAACAGAAGTGGCGACTCGTCGATTGGCTTGTTCGCTTATTAGCGACTGAAAAAGGACCCGGTCTTGTTGAAGTATACGAGTCCTTCAAGTTAGAATACTGGGATCTGCAACTTTCCTGGGTCGAGGCTGTGCTGCGCACCCGTGATGACTTCGAGCGTAGCATGATCACCTCGATCAAGGCTAAGGCGGCGGAATTATCTGTTGAACGAGGAATGGAAACTATCATGAGCCGATTAAGATGATTTAGCGGCGATTGATACGGGTTCTTTGAAGAGTCCCACCCTTCTTCAGACCCATAATTTGGGCATGTCAGATCAGTATTTTGAGCAGATCGTTCGCTACCTATCATCTCCAATGCTGAGTGAGCAATGCCGTGTCTTGCTCTGCTTGTCCTAGGAGCCGGGTTCCATGCAATGGCCACTGAATTTCGATATTTTCGAGTCTTTGGACGCAGTCCATCACCGCATGGGCCAATCAAGTCTGGGCCTGAACCGAGTCGGAAGGGAACTCATGAGATAATGAAGACCTCCACTACATGTAATAACTCAACCCAAGCAGGCTTGGGTTCTGTTCACACATTAATAGTACTAGTAACAGAACAATGAAATCTTTTGAACTAGTCATTTGAATCGTATCTAAAAAGGTATCTTACTTGCACGTCTCGTAGTCCTCCCTTTCTTTACGACCGCTTTCTCTACCCAATATTTGAACTTGCTTGGGGAGGGATTCAATGGCTACTTCTCATCCAGGCTTCTCTCAGAGACGACCGTGTACTTCTCGCCGAGACGATTATCCAAATCATGATTACTGCTGACACCGGGATGCGATGAGATCTTTTTCGCCCCCATCTCGCAGATGGCGATTGTGTCCAAGGTAATATCTTTCGCCCAAATGAAGGGGTAGGTAGGCTTCGATTGCCGAAAATCCACTGATTGGGAATTCCGTGCCGGGGATTTGGGTTGCCTGCTGTTACCGTCGGCAACCGGGGAATTTGGACTAAAAGGATCCTCTGTGTTGAGATTTACTGGTCTTGCATTGGTCCGTGTCTCATCGGTATAGTAATCTTTATACAGAGACACGAGATCACGAGCATCAAATGTAATACGTTTTGGTGGTTTCTTCCCATCTGCGCTTTTGTTCTGGGTGTTATGTCGACCACGGACGTAAATTGTGTTCACGAGGGTTGCATGTAGTAGAAGCGGACGGGGTTTGGGCTTCCGGGACAAAGCGGCTGTATATGGATCCACAATTGCTGGCAAATGTGAGCTTCCAGAAGAATCTTGCTCTGCTCGTGGAGAAGTATCCCCGCTGGCTACTTTATTGTCATCGGCGGAGGGTTTTGCCTGCATTTTGTCTCTGGTGGGTGCTTTCGAAGCCTCGTTCTGGATGAATCCAGCTTCAATAAACTTGTCCCGGAGCATCACGCAGAACGGGTACAAGCGGCCCGTGAGGTCGACTGGCGAGGCATGTAGAATACTTGCCGATTTGGCATTGGGGAGCGCGTGCAATGACTCAAGCGAGACCATCATAGGCTGGTTTTGGTTTGGTTCATGTGTAGATGTTGATGATTCTGATGGATTATTGTTGTTCTTCTTTTGAGCAGCAACTCGATCGGCCTCACTGATCAGGGCTTTCAAGTCGAGAGATTGGAAAAGAGATATAGCTTGTTCCAGGCGCTCCTTGCTGCGAAGACTCATTACCCCTAGTGTAAAGTGAAGAGTCCCCAATGGGCGGAATGCGCCGCTAGGAATACTCAAACATGAGGTGCTGGCATGATCGTTGGAAGTCGGCAGGGAGATCGCACCGGGTCCAGGCAGATGAACTGTTTTGAAAGTCGTGACCGAGCACTCCAGTTGCGCAATTGAAGTAGTGTTGATCAGAGGCAGGCAAAGAAAATGGGTCAGAGGTTGTCGTTTTTCGTTATGCACTTTCTGAGATTGATGCCTTGGTGTGCCTTTGTCTGTCATGGTACGCTGGTACTTCTGAGCTGAAAGTCTAATTGGGCGGTGGTGGATATTTAACCCAGTGCGGAAATCACCGCGGCAGCAGCGAAATATCATGGGTCGGTGTGGTTTAAGTTAAGTTGGCTGAAGACATGTCGTGAGAATAAAGTCAGACGTCAGACGCACGGACCAATCCATGACCCTTCATCGCTCGTGCACATTTGAGAGCATTGCTTGTATTTCTTTATAGATATCTACCTTCATCTTTCTTACTAAAAAAACTACATTGATGTACAGTGCTCACTTCCTATCTCATGACGTGCAAAAATACATAGAAACCGAGGCAATTTCTATGGGACAAGCAATCCATCCACCAGCTCGTGATGAAAGCAAAAGAGAGGTTCACTGCACAGGAAGCACATAAGTCTTGCGCACCTGCGTGGAAAGTTACTCATCTGCGTGGAAAGATAGTGACAACAGTGGTCGAAGGAGAAAGGGAGGGCGGGAGACCGTGGTTCTAAAGAGACCGAGAATAACCATCGTCAGCTTGATGCCCAAAAGCTGGTGACTGACCTCAACGTGATGGTAAAATACTACGGGAGAATAGGGATCTTAATCACGGGAGGAACTCACCGTAAAGGTTTTTCAAGTTCAGAGACAGCTAGCAACGGCAGTGGATGTACCGGCTGAATGTCACCAAGTTCCTGGAAACCCACAACCGCCATTCACTTTAGCTTAACTGTAGTGAGCCATACACCCATGATGCCGGCAAAGGGAATGATAGACAGATTTCCAAATCCCAAAATCCCATGATATGTACTCACCGGATGATTGTTTGGACGATCAAATGTAATGTGTGCAGCGGGTTGCAGTGCGGAGGTCTTAAAATCTGGAAGAAGCGGTCTTCATCAGCTTGATGCCCAAAATCTGGTGAGACTGACCTCATCGGGGCGGAAAAAGACTACGGGAACCGGGCATCTCTATCACAGGTGAGGAACTCACTATGGTTTTCACTAATGTTCTCATTCCGTGCTCCAGTGCGTCTTTGGTCCATCAGGTGTGCTCGTGTTGTACTATAGAGCTTTTTGTCAGGCTTGGAGCACCCAGTATGTTTGATTATGGCTCACCGAAGCAGTGCAAGTATTGCACCACCATCCTTCGCTTCCCAGCGTGTAAACAATGTGATCGATGTGATGCGGGATTCCTAGAGCCTATGAAATCTGGTCCTCCTCAGCTTCATGCGCAAAGCTGGTGAGAGTGGCCCCATCGTGACGGCAGAGCAGGGTTCAAAACTTCAGCATGTTCATCACGGGAGAGGGAATCACTGTTGAAGTGTTATGGCGAGAAAGTTAAGTCGACCTAGTCTATCAAGAGAGGCCGAGGAAGCAGTCAATACAATGCGAGGTTCATTTAAACTGGAAGAAACATTTCTCTCAGCTTGATGCCCAAAGCTGGTGAGACTAATCTCAACGTGACGGCAAAGGGAGGAAATTACAGAGAATGGGCATCTTAATCACGAGTGAGGAACTCACCACAAGTGTCGGAGCAGATGCGGTTGACGGAAGTGGATACGTTCAGGTTGTACGAATATCTGTTCGAAGGTCAGTACATGTCAAAGCATGAGGCGATGGGTGAGGAGACATGGATACATGATTGCATGAAGGCATGAAGAGGTCAAGGTACAATGACATAGCGACATGAGTCACAGGGCCTCAGTGAGGCAGTCGGAGCAGCTAGCAGCAACAGCAAGGTCAGATATTGTCGTGTGGGTTGGAAACAAACTCGAGCATGTCGAGTACATGGCCACAACGATGGGAATGATGAAAAACATTATCCGAAACCCAATTGTGGGGATGGGAAGATGATGGAGAAGAGGGAAGAGGAGGGTAAATGAGAAAAGAGGAAATAAAGAGAGAGAAGTAAGGGCAGGGGATATATATGCCTGAAGAGTCAGAGTGAAGCTTTCGAACCTCTTTCCTCATCGGGTAATTTGCACTGCGCAGGTGATGAAAATCAGCTGTACCGTGGAGAATATGAAATTCTTGGGCTATCAATAGCAAATATACTTCATCAATCAGGTCTCAACCTGTCTTCATGGGGCTAGAAGCTGGAGGAGCGATGACTCCGAGCAGTGGACTGCTGGATGGAGTGTGTTATAACAGAGAGTCGATGGTTATGAGCCTGCTATTAAGGGAAATTATCAGTAGAAACTTGAATAGAACTATCGTATTCTACGTTTTGTTCAATATGGCATCGCCATACCCCATTCATACACACTTTAGTGACTACAGTGCACGCAGTATAAGACCGTTCGCTCATTAGACATGCAAGTAACAGCCTCAGCGTCGAGGATGTTAGAAACAACGTAGCCGCCGGAACCAAGGAACACTATACCTTCGGTCACCACTTAATCTGTAGCTAAGGCTCCCAGTCAAATGTAGCCCAAGAACAGGCTAGGATGAGGCAGGTCACCACTTATGCCTTCCCAGGCTACAAGTACGGCCACAGCTACAGCTACAGCATACAAGGAAAGAACAGATGACAAAGACAGGTATCGAGCAGCTTCATCTTCTCGGGAGCATGTACAGTAGCTAATACACACAAAATCAATACCAAGTCGTCAAACAACCTTCTTCCGGCCTTCAACAACACGCATAACATCAGCAACGTTGTCCTTGTCACCCTTCTTCTTCTTAGGTCCACGCTTCCTCTTCTTGCCGCCTCGGTTGTCATCGTCAAAGTCGAACAAGACCTGGTCGTCCTCCTCTCCATCTTCGTTGCGGCTCTCTCCGAATCCCATGTCCATATCTGCATCATCCAGGGCGTCTCGGCGGCGTGCCTCTTCAATAAACCGTTTGTGTCGAAGGGCTGCTTCAGAGGACTCGCCTTCTTCGCCCCCAGAGGGAGAGGTTTGACGGATGGCTGCAGCTCGCTTAAGAGCCGCCAGAATGGTAGGATCCTTCGTGAGAGGGTTGGAACGGTCTTCGGGCTCTTCAGTAGTTGATTCTCCGAAGTAATTCCTTGGTTTGGCCGGTGCGCTGTCGGTCGTGGGTTTCTTGTCTGTTTTGCTGACAGTATCCTTGGCCAGTTTCTGAGACGCAGACTCGCTTGTTCCGCCCTCCTCGTCGGACGAAGAATCATCGCCTTCGAGCCCAGCGAGGGGGTTATAGTCATCACCAACACCGACGAAGATATCTTCGTCTTCGTCTTCAGGTGGAGCTGCGGCTGAGCGGGCAGCGATGTCAGCCGGAACCTCCATACCAAGGGGTTGGGCAGCCTTGTCAGGCATTGGAAGGTCTCCCGCAGCGGAAGCAATGGATTCGACAGGCTTATCAAGCCATCGGGTCTTCCGCTTAGTATTTCCTTGTGCGTCCGTGATGAGGAGCACCTCTCGTCGTCGGCCAGTCTCGTCACGCTCGACAAACCGCTTCTTCTCCGGCTTTCCATCACTAAGCTTTTTGAATTTCGAGCTCAAAGTTGACTCTGGCGGTGGAGCAGGAACAGCAGCAGCAGCCCGCTTGGCCTTCAACTCGCGCAGGATATCATCACGGGTCTTCGGCTTGACAGGTGGCGGAGCCATATTGCCCTTCTTCTTTTCTTTCGGCTCCTTGGGGGCAGCAGCAACTTCTTCTAGGCCCTTCGCCTCCACCAAGCGCTCGAATTCCTCATCTGCATCCTCTTTTGGCTCTTCAGAGGGTGGTGCTGGTTTCTCAGCCGCTTGAGACACATCCTCGCCAGCTCTGACCCTCCTAAGCAAATCCATATCCAATCCCTTAACCATGTGTGTGCTTCCAAGATCACCTCCAACTCCAAGGTCTTTGCGGAGCTTGTCAAATGTTGCTTGGTCGATCTGTCCTAACTTGACCATATCTTCCAATGCTTTAATCCGCGTCTCGAGATCCTCCCCGCGTTCATCTTCACCTTTCACATTACGCAAGTGCGCGCGATCCTGATACCCGGTTGGGAGTGCGGTACCCTTCGGCGCAGCAGAAGATTTGAACCGCTTGGAGGGACGATCGCCCTGGCGTTGTTCAGCGAGTTGACGGCCGAAATCCACTCCCGTCACGGATCGACTGCGACAAAACATGTGTTAGCATCTAAAACTCCTCTGAAATAATGAATCCCCCGGGTGACGCGACATACGGGGTCATGGGAATACTGGACCGCATTCGCGAGCCCAATAGCCCGCCGGGGGTTGCGCCGCTGCGCGACGCATCACGGCCCGGTGTTGCATTGGAGTCCTTGGGTTTCGAGGACACCTGGTCGGCCAGCAGCCGTCGGAATTGCTCGTTATTCATGGCTGTGATGTTGAGTGGCCTGGAGATGAGGTTGCGAAAGGCTGCACGTTGAAGGTGAAGATCCGGGTTGGCGTTTCTTATCGATAAGACTATCTCCGCAATTTTTGCCCTAAAATCAAGCTGGACTCAACCTTTGGATGGGCATTTCAAGCTTAAAATGACTTTTGAGATTTTTCAGCATTTGACATTTTCCAGGTTTTGTTCTACAAAGGCATCTGGATTGGTTCTCGGGATAAATTTTGGCTTGTTCGTTCTCCATGCCTAACATATATCTTTTACGTTACCACTGGTGCCAGCTTGCACAGTAAAACTTGAAATAAAGAACAGATAGCATAGCATTGAACCCTAAGTCAAACAGAATAACCCAGAAACATTTTCGATCTACAATGATAAAGCTTAAATGGACAGAATTCACAAACAATCATCATCATTTCCCCAATTCGCCCCCTTTAAAAAGACATGAAAAAAAGAAAGAAAGAAAAATCTAGGTGCACACGAATGATGGATCGCAAAAAACAAATGATCTTTTGGTGTTCATTAGATAGTCTCCCAGCCGCCATTGTTTATCTCAGACTCCAGCTTGCGGCTGATGGTAGCAGGGATGGAATGCGACAGCCAGACATCACGCAGGAGACGGTCGTACCGCTTGTGGTTGAGGATGAGTTGGCGGTTGCGACGGAGACCGGGATCAGCTTCGCCGTGGCGGTCAAGGTAGGGTGCGAAGTT